CTGTTGTGGGGCCAGGAGAGGGCAGCTGCCGCCAGCATCTTTTCTGTTCCGCCGACGAGGGGCTGGGGCAGGAGCGCTGGGGGGGGGTGAGCCCAGACGGGGTGCCTCTGGGCTCCTGCCAGCCCCCCTCCGCCCCCCCTCCCTGACCGGTGTCTCTTCTCTCCCTTGCAGCTCTTAGATTTGTTCCTGCAGTGGGACTGGTCGACCTACCTGGCTGACTACGGGCAACCGACCTGCAAGTACCTCCGGGTCAACCCGACAACGGCGCTGGCCTTGCTGGAGAAGTGAGTGCTCCCGCTGGCATCCTGTCGGCCGCCTTCCCTGCCCTTCCACCCACCCCGCTGCCTGGCTTGTGCTTTGGCGGGGGGCATGGAGGGAAGGGAGTCTAGGCCGCTGGCTGGCCGGCCCCGTCAGACCCTGGGCTCCCATGCACCCTCTTGATGTGCGCGAGGGAGCCTCCCTCTTCTTGGGGCTGCAGCTTTTTGCTCTTGTCTTGCAAGGTGCCCCCTTCCGCCGGTGGCCGGGAAGCCGTTTTCAGGGTGTATGTGTCGCAATTGAGATGGCTTGACGGTTGAAGGTGTGCAGAAGGGCAGCCGTTCGTGCAGAGGCGCGGGGCGCATGTGCAAGGGGACAGAGCTGGTGGGAGCTGTGGCCCTGGTCTCTCTCCAGCGCTGAGCTCCCTTCCAGCATGTGGGGCTCCCCCTCCTCCTCCTCCTCCGCACCTCATTAGTGGACTGTGCACCCTCCTCCCCCAGATGAGGAAACCAGCCCCTGCCCACCGGCAGGCATCTGCATTCACGCCCCCGCACCCATGTGGCCTTGGTCTTCCTTCTCTCTCGGAGGGGGCTGCTCTTCCGGTTGGAAACAAGCAGCTCTTTCGGGACTTCTCCTGGGAGGTCTTCTCACCCGTGGTCCAGGAGATGGGCAGGAGGGGGAAATGGCAGGGACGGACGGACGGCTCTCCTTTCCCCTAAATAAACCCCAGTCCAGGTAGCCCTTCCGTGGCCCTTGGCTTTCAATGGCTTTCCTGGGTCCTGCCCTCTGGGCCAAACCAGGTGTCCTTCCGGCCGAGTGGCCGCCCCTCCTGGCCTGCAGGTCCTAGGCGTGCAAAGAAGAGCAGGAGGGAGCCCCAGGCTCAGGCTCGGCAGCCTCTGTGTGTGTGTTTGTGCGGGGGGGGGCATTGGGTGTCTGGTCTAGGGCATGGGGGGGTGTCGCACGACTGCTCCATCCTGCGCCGCTCTTCTCTGTCTGTGGAGGCTGCAACCTTGCCTTGGCAGTGTGGCTTCTTCGCCTTTTCCCATGGACCCCTCCCTCCTGCCGTTTCCTCCTCCCCTCCCTCCCCGCCACACCCCCGACTGAGGTTCTGTGAAGTCCCGCTGGCTCGACTCCTTGCTGTGCAGGCTCTCCTCCTTTCCTTCCCCAAGACCCGAATGGCTTGCAAGGTCTCCGTGTTGGGAGATGATGGCCGGGAAAGACACCACGGCTGCTTTCCAAGCTCTTGCTTAACCGGTTGTCTTGGTTTATCTCTCTCTTTCCTTTCTCGCCACACCCCCGACTGAGGTTCTGTGAAGTCCCGCTGGCTCGACTCCTTGCTGTGCAGGCTCTCCTCCTTTCCTTCCCCAAGACCCGAATGGCTTGCAAGGTCTCCGTGTTGGGAGATGATGGCCGGGAAAGACACCACGGCTGCTTTCCAAGCTCTTGCTTAACCGGTTGTCTTGGTTTATCTCTCTCTTTCCTTTCTCCTTCCATCCTCGCAGGATCTCCCGAGAGTAAGTATGTGGCTTGTCTGGGGCTTCTTTGCTTGCTTCGCAAGGACGCCTCTTCCTGTGCGACTTAAAAGGAGCACCCGGGGGATCCAGAGGCATTCAGAGACTTTTATCTTCTCCAGTCGGCTGATGTCTAGGGCTGCTCCTCCTGCTTCGATAGATGTCACCAAAATGGGGGGAGGGCTTGATGGGGATTTGGGCTGAGTGGGCATTAGCCCCTTCTTCCCTTTGCCATTATTTTTAGCGTGATAGCCCCACGGGGACCCCGCTGGGTATTGAGACCCCTTTGTCAGGGTAAAACACCCTCTCAACTCTGTGTCCCTGCAAATCTCCGGATTTTGTCTCCGACATCCCCGGCTGGCAGGTCGGCCTCCCCTGACTTGCACACACACACGGAGCCTGCTCCCCACACGGCTTTTCCCGGTGCCTTGGTCAGATCTGGAAACCCAAGGTGATCAAACAGGAGGAACCACATGGAAAGGCTCAGGCTGAGTAAGAGGGGGAGAGCTGCTCTTCTGAGACTTCTCTGGAAAGTGGAGCTTCGCAATGTCCAAAGTCTGCTTGGCCCCTCCATGGCTTTGCCAGCAGCCAGTTTCCAAAGCTCTGCCACATGCTAGTTGGACCACCACGGAGTGGAGCCTCCAGCAGGGAAGGATGATGACCCCTGGCGTTAAGCCCAGATTGCCATTACGTGGGTTTCTTGGTGGCAGTTCAGCCCTCCGGGTGGAAAGAGAGGGTCTTCTCAGGGTTGTGGTGGGGCTGGGTCCTTTCCCCCAGTCCCCACTGTCCTAGCCTTGCTCCTGGATTTCCGTTTATGGAGGTCACAAGATGTGCCAAGGACTGCCTCTCTCCTCCTCCCTACATCTGGGTGCCATCACCTCTGCCAGGAGGGATCCCATGCGGTGGAAGTCCTCCATGCGCAAGGTGTGCTGAGCAAGGCGTAGCCTCCTCTTGCTCTCCCAGTCACTGAACGCACGCATGCACGCACACCCCCGACACAGACGCACATGCGTTGCATTAGGGAGCACTCCCCCAGGACTGGGCGGAGGGCCAGTTCAGCCTCCTGACTTCCCAGGTTTCCATGGGTTAGAGCAGTGGTTCTTAACCTTTGTTACTCGGATGTTTTTGAACTGCAACTCCCAGAAACCCCAGCCAGCACAGTTGGTGGTGAAGGCTTCTGGGAGTTGCAGTCCAAAACTCCTGAGTAACCCAAGGTTAAGAACCAGTGGGTTAGAGCATCCACCTGCCCCGGGCCATGTTTCCCAGTGGCGCAGGAAACTACGGGACAGACATGGGAAGGGACTCCCGTGCGGACCATCGAAGCAGGGCTGCCTGTGCTTCTGGTGATGCTTTGGGCCCTTGGGGGGGGGGGGGGCTTTGCAACCCTGGGCAGCTGGACCGGAGGGAGGTCTGGCTTCCTTGCCCAGTGGCGGGAAACGACAGGGCATGCCCGTTTGTGGGGAGCCGTGGGTCTGCCTCTCGCAGCCCTCAGCAGTGATGCAAAGGAAGCGCGAGGGGCTGGGCACCCCAGGTAGCTCACACACACACACACCACCCATGTGTTTTGTGCGTCCGCCCCTTCCGCAAGCTGACGGGGGTCCCTTTCCATCTGCAGGATGAAGGACACCAGCCGAAAGAACAACGTCTTCGCCCAGTTCCGGAAGAACGAGAGAGAGAAGCAGAAGCTGATAGACACGGTGGCCAAGCAGCTGCGTGGCCTCATCAACAGCCACCACTCTTGAAGGGGGCCGGCCAGACTGGGGGTTTGGGGACCCCCCCTTTGGAACCTGCGTGGCCCCCACCCACCCAAATGCACCCTCTGATGAGAGGAAGTGGCTCCTGATGTGGAATCCTCACAGGGCCCTTCTGTGTGCAGACTGGCTTTCCTTTTTGAGGGGACCGTAGGCTGTAGCCTCAGCTTCTTTGGGCATCTTTCCAGCACCAGAGCCCCCAGTGTTTTTCCAACACGCGCCCCCCCTTCACCACCTGGTGAAGGTGGAACATGGTCAGGAAGTCCCAACGCCCCATCCTGGGGTGCTGGGTTGGGCTTTTGTCGGCGTGCCATTTCAAAGCGGGACAGGGCGGAGCGGGGTGAAGGTTCGAGAGAGGCCGCCTGGTTCCTCTTGGCCGAGAGGCCCTTCCTTGGATCGTCGGGTGGCCGCGTGCGGGCCAGAGGCAGGTCCCCGTGGCTGGGTTTTTGTGGTAGAGCTGTTCTTCCCCCTTCCACTTCTCCTCCTGGGGGGACATCCAGCCTCACTCGTGTTCCTGCACGTTTGCAGATGAGATCTTTCATTCTCGTGCAGGGGTGGGCGGGTGGGGGATCTTCTGTTTTATCTAGCCGGGAGCACAGTTTAGGCACAGAAGCTGCTGCTTGCATAAGTTCAGCCAGGTCATTTTACGTGGCTTCCCTGTTCCCTGTGATTCCTTCCAGGTCAGTTTCATGGCCAGCCTGCCAACTCAAGACTGAGCTAGAGAGAGCGTCTTCACTGTCTCTCTCTCTTTCTCTCTCTCTCTCTTTCCCCCCCCCTTCTCCTCTTCCTGCCCAGCTCCTTTCCTCACAGGTGGCCCAGCCAGCTCAGGAGGGCCACCTCTTCCTCTTCACTGCCCCCCCCCACCTTCCTCTTTGCCTTCAAGTCATGACATTAAAGGGAACAAGAAAAGGAAACCTCCGTAGAAAACGACAGCGATGGGGCTGCTTTGCCCTGTGTTCCCACGCTGTCTTTTCTGGTTTTCCTCTTGGTTTGTACTCATGATCTGTTTTTCTAGATATGTCTATATTTTTAAAGGAATGACTTTGTGTCTTTAAGCCTGCCTTAGAAGAGCCGCCCAGAGGCGTTGTGGGCATGGCTTTGGGTGCTGGGGTCCCCGGGCGATGGCCTGCCGGAATGGTGGGAGTTCGGGGTCTGTTTGGAGCGCGTGGGTTGTCCTTCTCCAGGCCCCGAGCCTGGGGAGGCGCCTCGCTTGCTGGCCTGGCCTCCTTTTTTCAGTGCAAGCCGATTTTATATATGGCATTAGAAGTATATTGTTAGGGTGGCTCCTTTTCAACAAGGGCTCGTCAACGTTGGAGTATTTATGTCTCTCTTGTAAAACAAATCTGTGTTCGTGGTTCCAAAAGGATGTTTATGAGGCCTTTGTTTAATGTTTGTGGAAAACAGTTTGGAAGATGCTTCCTTTAAAAGCCTGCTTCCGAGGAGAGTGTTTGAGAACAGGAGCGGTTCAGCCAGAGAAAGAAAACGCACCTTGCTCTTTGGGCCCTTTCTGACCCAAAGTGAAGGGCCTCTCCCTTCCCCTGCGGAAAGGTGCTGCCGGCATCTTTTTCTTCGCTGTTGGGAGCAGTTTGGGGGAAAGACCCACCAAGATGGGGCAGAGCCCTTGAGTCGCCTCCCGTTTCTTCCACACCGAGGCTCTCTGTGAAACAACTCCCCCCTCCCCCCCGGGGGCTCCTCAAGGGAAGGTGGCAGGAGAGCTGGGGTCGCCCAGAAATGGCATGGGGTCGCCCAGAGCTTCTAGATGACTAGGAAGGATGCTGTCCAGGGGTGAGGACCTCTGGCAGGAGGTGGATGGCACCGTGTCTTCCTCAAGATTGTGCAAAGAGAGAGAAGTGTGTGTGTGTGTGTGTACCTGGCGGTGTGTCTCAAGATTGTGCAAAGAGAGAGAGGAGTGTGTGTGTGTGTGTGTGTGTGTGTGTGTGTGTGTGTGTGTGTGTACACCTGGGAAAACTGCTCAGAAGCCCAGCGGTGGCCTCCATACATGTCCACTGTTTTTGGAGCCAGAAAAGGGATCAGCCACAGCTGTTAGGTGAGCTTGGGTACCGAGGGCCTGTCCTTGTGTGTTGGTGGGTCTTTCTTTTTCTCCGTCCTATGTCAAAAAAAGGGCTGCATGTGTGTGTGTTGTGCTTCTGAGCAGGATGAGCAGGGCCCTCCGCAGGAGAGGTTCCCGCTGGGCCTCTTGGTCGAATCGTTTTCTCCCACGGAAATGAGGCCCAGAACTTTCAGATTTTCTTTGGCCGCCCCCCCCCCCAGGAACCGTGCAAGACAATGCTGTGATGCCAAGGCATCCTCTGCTCTGGAGCCTTTGAGCCTTTCCCCCAGGACGGCTGGGGAAAAGTCTGGCCAGGGAGAAGGGGTGGCCAGGTGGCCGAGCCAGAAACAAAGGAAGGGGTGTGGGGGAGAAGGCAGCTGCTCCCACTGAAAGTGCCGGCCTCTTTCAGCTGAATTGGAACAGGAAGCGTTCCTGAGGTAAGAGGCTTTTTGGCCCCTGCCACGGAGCCCCCAGGGCGTAGGGGCTAAAGGCCCTTGGTGTTCAGGGTTCTGGTAGCCCAGCGGCGTGGAAGGGCCCCTGGTCCGTGTCGTTGCTAGACTTGGTCAGTCAGTCCCCCTGCAAGAGGAAAGCCTCCCGGAGCCAGGCTGCCTCCCGTGGACCCTGGGGCATTCCTTCCCACAAGGAATACGTTGGGAGCGTCTGGGGGCCAAAGGGTAGCGGAGAGCGGCTGCTGGAAGACGCTCTGCAGGTTGAGGACCGACCACCGCCCTTTGGCCTGGGCTGGGCTGTCCAGTTAGCCAGGATGACCAAGACGGGGGCTGCCCTTGTGTCATCGGTGCCACGTGAAGCCGTTTTAGGCTGGGGTGGGATCGGAAGGCCTGCTTCCAGCCTCTCCTCTGCAGAACGGGAATGCCGCCACCCACTTGGGGTCCTTCCTCCAAAGACGACCCTGCAGGCGTTTTGTGCTTTGTTTAATGAGGGTGCAGGAGAAGAAGGGTGCAGCCTTGGGCCGATGGGAATCTCCCCCATACAGAACAACTCACGTGGATTCCTCCCTCGGTCAAGCAGTCTTTGGCCCAGTCCGTCTTTCAGGGTCTCCCTGCACTCTTTTTTTTTGGGGGGGGGAAGAGGGGGTCCGCTTTTTGTGGAGGATTAAATTGGTGGAGGAGTTCCTCTCAGTTGAGAGCCATGTTCCCCACAGGCTTCTCTTCTTCCCGTGGCAAGGAGAGGACGTGGCATCCCCTCTCCATGGGGGCCTTGTGGCCAAGCTCAGCCGGGGAGGGCTGCTCCTTCGAGGCTGACGGAGGGATGCAGAGCTGCGAAGACATCCCAGTGGCCGTGGCGACTTGCTCCGGGGGCAGCCTGTGGTTTTGTAACAGAAACCGGCCCCTTCCTCTTGCCCGGCTGAGCAAAGCAAGAGGGAATCCTCAGGGGAAAGGCCATGTGGGGCACCTCCAGCCGGCCACGGGCCTTCTGCCCACGCTCAGGGATGCTCCATTGAAAAAAAAGAAAAAAGAAAGATCAAAAAACTGCCAAACCAGCATGAGGCAGATGCGGCAAAACCCATTTCGGCCCTGATGTAGAGAAAGCCGGCCGCTCGGCACACACAAAAGCTGTACAGTTAAGGAAAGTGCTACCTTGACCAAGGAAGAAATTGCATTATGAAAGGTGTCTGATTTCAGGCAGGTTGCACTCCAAACCACTAAGCCCATAATGGAGTTGAAAAGTGGGGTTTTAATGCCCCATGCCTAGTAAACATTTCGTTCCAAGCAATACAACCCTGTTCTTTAAAAAGAAAACCAATCCTTTCAACAGTGTGTGAGTGTAAGGGAGTGTGTGCCATGCATGCATGCACTTCTTTTGTTTCTTTACGAAAGGGAAGTGAAAGATAGTTGTACGTAAAATTATCCACTTTAATATTCATTATTAGTGCATCTCCTCTACACTGGATGATTGGATACCAGAAGGGCCACTGTTGTGTGTATGCATGTGTGTACACAAACTACGGTCAATGGCAAAGTAACTTGAAGGCGTGAAGAAGGCGGACGCCTGACCACCCAGACAGTCCTTTGAGGGCTCTCATCTTGTCGATGGGCATGAACAGAGAGCCTCACTGGGGTTGGGGGCAGCAGGAGAGGCAAGCCCCCCGGAGTGTCTTCCAGTGAGCACCATTGTGTAGGAGGGGCAGCCACTTCGTTCTGCAGCAGGAAAGCGTCCGGCTTTGCCAGAGATCACAGCAAAAGTCCTTTGCTGATTTTGCACTTGGGTTAAATTTGACCCCAATTTTCAATCCTCATAAGGGAGAGCTTTTCCATTTTAATTTTTCTATTGTTATTGTTGTCTCTGAATTTTCTAATCCTTTTGTATGTGGTTTTTATTTTTTTAAGTAAGGCTGTTTGTTCAAAAGAATTCTTTCTCTTTTTTTAATAAAGTGTAAGGCATCTGGGTGATTGTGATAAAGGCTGGAAGTGGATCTCAAAACAAGGGGTTTGATGCTACAGTAAAAGCTTATGGGGCAACACGGCAGCCCGTCAAAACCAGGCTGAAGGTTTGCTCCCTTGCACAGGAGCCATCTTTATAGATACGGTTTGTGCCACAGAGCTCTTCCTGTTGACTTCCATTTTGGGCTTAGAGCCACTTCTCACAATGGTATCTGGGAGATGTGAGGAGGTGATTTTAGTAAAGCCAGAGTGCCCTGGACAGGTGATGTAATCCACCATCACCTTGGGAAATTGTTTTGCTCCAGGCCTCTTGGGTCTGAAACTTGCTATGTCTTGGGGACCTTCAGAAAAGCTTTGCGCTACACCAGAACTACTAGAAAACGCATGTCGAGGGCATCATGCGAAAAACAGCCATGGCACAGTTGAGTGTGGGTTCAAATTCAGTATAGGTGAATTCCCACCTCATCAGGGCTGCGAGTCCTTTTCCGCTCAGGAGTGAGGCACCCAAAAATGCTTCCAGATCGTTTAAATCTTGCACCCTTGACCAAAGTGACAGCCCTCGGTTTGTTAATTGCTTTCAGAGATAGGAGAAGGGAGATGCATCCATATAGATCCACATACATGCACATGCATTTATCTTCTTTTCTGGGTATCTTTGGTTATTATTTCCATTTTGGAGAGTGTGTTTCTTAGACTGATGAAAATGACTTTTTGTTTTGTTTTTGCACAAGTGCTTTGCACAAAAAGGGAGACGGTCACTACTGTCCAGTTTAAACGTGAAAAGGCATCTGTCTTGGGAAGGGCAGGGATTGCTGCTGGTTGAAGAAGGTGGGAGATGGGGCTGCCAAGTAAATTGCATATCCTACCTAGCATGTTGGTTTGTACATTTACTATCTGGTTGTAACTTTTATTAAAACCATGTCCCTAAGTGGTATGAGCATGACTGCTTTTGTTCCGGGATCTTTCCACTGGCATTTGCAAGAGAGGAGCGTGTTCTCCTTTCCTCCAGCCATTCCGCATCCGTTGCTGAAATGCACTGGCAGGAGCCAACTAGCAGTTGTCCCAGGCAGATCGAGA